GGGGTGACAATTTGTAGCAGGTGACATGGAGTTAAGGTTGCCACCCGTCCATCCATCATTGGAATCCTGTGCCCAGGTGTCAGCCCACCTCACACCGGGCACATTATTCTCGCCGAAAATGTGGCTAGAGACGTGCATACCTCGCGGCGGGTTCCCGGGTGGCGCTGTCACTCCAGTATGACTTGCCAAACTATTGCAGACTTGCCGAGCTTCACAATTTTGTTGCACAATTACAGCAAGTCTGCATCGCAAGTCTCCAGATCAACGTGCTTTGTAAAAGTGCTGTACACTCGCAGGGCTCTTGCTGTAGACTTGCCGAGCAAATTTGCTACAAATTCAAAAAGTGTCGCCTAGAACTTGTGCTGCGAGTGTTCTGCAAGTCCACAACCTGCCAGGAATGTGCGCAGCAAGTTACCAAGAATTACAATTTAACTCAAAAGTTTGTGGCAAGTTGTCCTTCCTATCTGGGATGTTGCTACCACTCGGGGTGACAATTTGTAGCAGGTGACATGGAGTTAAGGTTGCCACCCGTCCATCCATCATTGGAATCCTGTGCCCAGGTGTCAGCCCACCTCACACCGGGCACATTATTCTCGCCGAAAATGTGGCTAGAGACGTGCATACCTCGCGGCGGGTTCCCGGGTGGCGCTGTCACTCCAGTCGCCGAGTCACTCGGCTCTCCCTTCGTGGCTGTGACTGGTGGGAGGAAGTGACATCAGGGACTCGGGAGAGAGGGAGAAATCATCCTCCTGTTCTATCATTTCACCGGACACATGACTTCATCGGACTACCGTCCGTCTGCGCGAGCGCACTGAGGCACCAGGTCCGTAATTCTCAATGACCAACAAAGCTTACCAGCGTGTGAAGGGCTCGGCAGTACGCCCAAGCGTACTGCGGCACCACGTCTGTAAATCTCACAGATCAACAGAGTTTAACAGCGGGGTTCTATTCAGAACTATGACAGACTACCACGCATGCTGCAGTTAGTCTTGACATATATACATATATATATACTCACCCCGAGCAAGAGGTACCACATGTCACTGATATATTATATATATATATATGTGTGTGTGTCAGGAGTGACTGCAGCATGCGTGGTAGTCTGGATAGAACGCCGCTGTTAAACTCCCTTCACATGCTGATAAGCTGTGTTGGTCCGTAGGGGTGACGGTGGGAGGACGCTAGTTTATGTCCTCCTGTGACCCTTAGGAGAACTATGTAACACTGACCCCATAGTTCTCCTTTAATATCACTTTAAGTCCCTGAACGCTAATCAAAGCCTAAAGAGCAGCTTCATACTGAGCAGATGGAGTGGTCTTCTCCTCTCTAAAGTTCTATGCAGCTCTTCTTCTACTATCTCCCCCCCCCAGGAGTGATCAGAACGGGACACCTTCTTTGTCTCCCCCTCCTCAACGCCCCTGGCGGGGCACAGTACTCTGCTAGAGCCCCCCTCCGGTTCTGTCTTGGGTGATTTTAAGCTTAATCCCCCACTAGCAACCCCAGAGGTGGCAAAGCATGCTGGGGCTTGTAGTTCAGCCACATGAGCCTTCCCCATTCCATGGATGCGCTGCCATTGTGGAACTACAAGTCTCAATCAGCCAGGCTAGGCAGATCTGTTATGTATGGCATTGGGTGACGGGGCATCTTGGGGCTTGTAGTTTCCCAACAGCTTTTTCTTTTCATTCTGTGGTAGCTGAGCTGCTGTGGAACTGTAAGTCCCAGAATGCAGTACCATATGCAGGGCCTTGTAATTCCATAGTGGCAGCCTCCCCCATCCAGTGCTTTGCAGCTGCTGTGGAACTACAATTCCCAGAGTGCCAGGGCAGCCAGCTCTATTATATACGGCACAGGGTAGCATGACATTCTGGAGCATCAGCCTTTGCAACCCATGGCTCTCCAGTACAGGAAGTCCCAGCAGGTCATGCCAGCCAGATCCGGTATGTACGGCATGCAGGGACTTATGGTTCCCCAGCTTCAGCCTTCCCCTTCCTAAAGATCTCCAGCTGCTCCAGTACAGGTAGCCCCAGCATGTCAAGCCAGCCAGATCTAGTATGTATGGCATGCTGGGATGTATAGTCCTCCAACATCAGCCTTTTCCTAAGAATCTCTAGCTGCCATTAACTACAAGCCTCAGCATGTCATGCCAGCCAGATCCTTAATGTAGGGGATTTATATTTCCCCGCCATCAGCTTTCCCCTTCCTAAGACTCTCCAGCTACTGCGGCACTACAAGCCTCAGCATGTCATGCCAGCCACAGGGTTGCAAGGCTTGCTGGAACTTGTTGTTCACCAGTAGGCAGAGCTGCCCTTAAGCGACTTGTGGCACACTGATATACAAACAAAGCCATAGGGGCGTGCCGGGACACTCCCTAATCACCCCGAGTGGAACACCGTGAGGGGAATTTATCAAAACCGGAGCAGACAAAAAATCTGGAGCAGCTGTGCCTGGCAACCAATCAGCATCCACCTTTCATTTTCAAATCTTAACTGAACAGACTGAAGCTGATTGGTTGCCATGGGCAACTGCTCCAGAATTTGCCTGCTCCGGTTTTGATAAATTCCCCCTTCGTGTGTTTAGTCACTGACCGGTGGACGGATCACAAAGGTCTCTCTGTGACCTCCTCAGCGATACAGAGCGCAGCAGCACCTTCCACTTACATTCCTCACTAGCGATGGGCTCGGGCGTGTTCGCAGCTACACGTGCCGAGCTCGCCAGGAACCTGACAGCGCGCAATCACAAGTACTGAGACATTGTCCCGGTCCGCAGCTGCAGAGATCGGGAAATGTCTCAGTACCTGTGATTGGCGCTGCGGCGCTGTCAGCTTCCTGGCGGGCTCGGCACCTGGAGCTGCGAACACACCCGAGCCCATCGCTAGTCCTCACATAACAGCTGCAGTCCTCTGTGACTGGGAAGCTTCAAGGGAGCTTTCCATCCAATCAGGCAGCCAGCTGGGTGGTCACATGACCACCTGCCAGGCTCCCTGGCTCATTACTGCGCCCCTGCTTGAAGAGGTAAGGACAGTTGAAGAGATGGGAATCCGGGATGCCCCAGGTCTGTGTATGTATGTCTGTAATACGCACGTACGAGTAAAGGCCGGCGTCCCAATACTTTTGGTAATATAGTGTGTGTGTGTGTGTATATGTATATATATATATATATATACCCACACACACACACACACACGTACACGTGTGTGTTTGTACTTTTGTGTGCACACCCCTAATGCAATAAGCTGCGCACGCCTATGAACAAAGCTACTGTGGGACTGCACGTCCCAGCATGCCAGGGCTGCCAATCCTGCTATATATATGACACCGGTAGTTGGGTATTTGATATTCTTAGGAAACAATTGGCTTCTTTTTTTAGGACTGGGCCACATGATAAATGTCCTTATTAGCTAGGCAGGAGCTGCATGGAGTTTGCACTCGTCTCCATCCAGACACACCCTACCTGCCAGCTGCAACAAATCTGCACTGATGAGACTTAAAGGGACACTACACTCCCGAGTTAAATCCTAAAAATACATCCAAGTCCCCAAACTCTGAACAACAATGTATCTTATTTGTGTATCGCTCGGCTGCTCGTCATAGTAAGTGAATTTAAACACGTTTGGGGGGAACACTGGTCCATCCTCATCCAAAAATGAGAAAAGGAACGGACGCCCTCCATGGACCTCCCATGTCTGCCGTGTGTCTACTCTACACGTGAGTCACATCAGGACGCCCCGTGACACCACCTCTGTACTCGGCCATTGCACGGCTGCTGCTTTCGTCACGTTACAGGCAGATCGTACCAACGGCAGACAGCGGGGGGAGTCCCAGAGCAAAGATTCTCTGTCTGCATTCATTGAAACACTATGTATCCGGTTTAGTTTCTTTTCAGATCGATACAAATTCCAGGTAGTTACATTGTGTCGCTGGCTCTCTTCATTGCCACCAGCGCGTGTGTGTGTGTGTGTGTCTTGCCCCCTCCATGGAGGGATGGATGATCCCAGCTCTGGGTGGGCTCTTGGATCACACACACTGTGCTGTACATTCCTGCTGGCAGGGAAGAGCTGAGTATTGTAGCTGGGTGACCAATAGGTTCCATTTGAACACTGTGCTGGTAACGAGTTCAGATCCCCAATCTGCAGGAAACCGATAACGGTATTTGGAGAAGGCAGCGCCGGGTTCTCTCATTAACTCCGTGCCAGCCTGGTCCAAAGTTCAGCAGCGTGCCCGCCTACAAAAGTTAACTGGGTGGAAAAAAGGGGCAAAAGTCCATCGGCTCCGAGATTAAATATAAAACGTTTAGTGGGTATCGGTCATCCCGCGAGCTGAGACGACTCGGATACAACTCCCAGACTGAGAGTGAGCTCTGCGTGCAGCCATAGAGGTGGGGAGTTCACATCAGTTTGTCCCATTCTTCTGGGTAAGTCCAACCAAAAACCTTTCTAACTCCTCTTGGGGTTGTAACCTCCCCCCCTTACTAAAGAAGAAGCATCTTTATTTCTCTCTATGCTGCTGTTGGAGAGTTCCCCTCACTTCCTGTTTGGGAAAATGTTGTCAGCAGGACAGGAAGTGAAGGGCAATCTCTCAAATGGAGCCTTGGGTAGCAGTAAAGACACAACAGGGGGCTGGGACGTGCAGTTCCCACCCTGCTGTGCCCATTATGAGGGGCTCCCACCATCCCTGTGCTGAGTTCCTGGGTCTGTACACCCGCTGTGCCCATTATGAGGAGCTCCCACCATCCCTGTGCTGAGTTCCCGGGTCTGTACACCCGCTGTGCCCATTATGAGGAGCTCCCACCATCCCTGAGCTGTTCCATTTTAAACTCAATCTAAATTGTTCAACTTTGATGCAGGTTCACTTTAAAGAGACGCTCTCATCTTACTCATACAGAGCAAAGTGACAGTCTCTGCAAAGGGACCCCAACCCCATTGGGTCCCTTTTTATGGGGTATATTTATTTATATAACAAATATTCATGGTGTAAACATTGAGCTGACTTCTGTATTATCATTCTAGCTGGAAATCTGAGTCCAAAATGTCTGTTCAGTTGTTTGAAGGAAAGCAGCACGCAGCTTATTATCATAAATTCCGGTTTGAACCATCACAAGAAATATTAGACCTGATCTTCAGTTACGTGGATGAGAAGGTAAGTAAAAGCGTCAGCCCGGTCCATAACCAACTTCAACCACAAAGCCAGCACATCCAGAACCGACGTCATGTCATTATGTCCAACACTTGTAAACCATTATTAGACCTCAATATTAGAGAGAGATACAAAGTAACATTGTATATAAACATTGATCAGAGGGAGATAGAGAGATACAAAGTAACATTGTATATAAACATTGATCAGAGGGAGATAGAGAGATACAAAGTAACATTGTATATAAACATTGATCAGAGGGAGATAGAGAGATACAAAGTAACATTGTATATAAACATTGATCAGAGGGAGATAGAGAGATACAAAGTAACATTGTATATAAACATTGATCAGAGGGAGATAGAGAGATACAAAGTAACATTGTATATAAACATTGATCAGAGGGAGATAGAGAGATACAAAGTAACATTGTATATAAACATTGATCAGAGGGAGATAGAGAGATACAAAGTAACATTGTATATAAACATTGATCAGAGGGAGATAGAGAGATACAAAGTAACATTGTATATAAACATTGATCAGAGGGAGATAGAGAGATACAAAGTAACATTGTATATAAACATTGATCAGAGGGAGATAGAGAGATACAAAGTAACATTGTATATAAACATTGATCAGAGGGAGATAGAGAGATACAAAGTAACATTGTATATAAACATTGATCAGAGGGAGATAGAGAGATACAAAGTAACATTGTATATAAACATTGATCAGAGGGAGATAGAGAGATACAAAGTAACATTGTATATAAACATTGATCAGAGGGAGATAGAGAGATACAAAGTAACATTGTATATAAACATTGATCAGAGGGAGATAGAGAGATACAAAGTAACATTGTATATAAACATTGATCAGAGGGAGATAGAGAGATACAAAGTAACATTGTATATAAACATTGATCAGAGGGAGATAGAGAGATACAAAGTAACATTGTATATAAACATTGATCAGAGGGAGATAGAGAGATACAAAGTAACATTGTATATAAACATTGATCAGAGGGAGATAGAGAGATACAAAGTAACATTGTATATAAACATTGATCAGAGGGAGATAGAGAGATACAAAGTAACATTGTATATAAACATTGATCAGAGGGAGATAGAGAGATACAAAGTAACATTGTATATAAACATTGATCAGAGGGAGATAGAGAGATACAAAGTAACATTGTATATAAACATTGATCAGAGGGAGATAGAGAGATACAAAGTAACATTGTATATAAACATTGATCAGAGGGAGATAGAGAGATACAAAGTAACATTGTATATAAACATTGATCAGAGGGAGATAGAGAGATACAAAGTAACATTGTATATAAACATTGATCAGAGGGAGATAGAGAGATACAAAGTAACATTGTATATAAACATTGATCAGAGGGAGATAGAGAGATACAAAGTAACATTGTATATAAACATTGATCAGAGGGAGATAGAGAGATACAAAGTAACATTGTATATAAACATTGATCAGAGGGAGATAGAGAGATACAAAGTAACATTGTATATAAACATTGATCAGAGGGAGATAGAGAGATACAAAGTAACATTGTATATAAACATTGATCAGAGGGAGATAGAGAGATACAAAGTAACATTGTATATAAACATTGATCAGAGGGAGATAGAGAGATACAAAGTAACATTGTATATAAACATTGATCAGAGGGAGATAGAGAGATACAAAGTAACATTGTTTATAAACATTGCTCAGAGATGGAGATACAAAGTAACTCTTACATGGTCCTTATTACAAGAATCCATTCAAAAACAAGATACAACATAAAACAAGAAAAAATGAGTTCTTTTATATTTGGCCGTATGCCAGCAGCAAAAATGTGATATAATATTATAATAACAGTGATAATTTAAAGTAAAAACAATTGTTTCTCCGGTCTCTCTCTAATATAATTTGAAAATGTTTTTGCCTTCCTAGTTACCTAAACCTCATGGACTCGCCGTGGACGTTGGCTGTGGAACGGGGCAGAGCACAAGAATCCTCTCTCCTTACTTCCAGAAAGTTCTGGGAACAGACATCAGTGAAGCCCAGATAGAGGAGGCAAAGAAAGTTCCGGGGTCACCCAATGTAACCTACAGGTGGGAACATTCTATTCAAGTGTCATTGGTTACGTTCAGGGGAGGGCTGGGAACCTTTGACCTGGGGGAGGGTACCAAGTGTACCATGGTACCGCAGTGATTGGTGGGATTAGTGAAAGGTGGGTGTTCAACGGTTCCTGGTAGGGAGAGAGGGCTGTGGGCTAAAGAAGGTGCCATGGTGCTGCAGTGATTGTTAGGTTTGGATAAAAGCTGGGTGGGTGTTCCTAGAGAACACAGTGCACACCTTTCCTCACCAAGTATTGGCCGCCTTTGCACCTCCCCTTGTGCCTTTGGGCAGGGAAGCCAGGAGCACAGAACCTGGAGTTGGACTTTGCCCCCTGATTAAGGTCTCATTTATCATCCTTGTAGCGCCTGTCCAGCCGAAGAGGTGCCAGTGGGTGACGCCTCTGTTGACCTACTCACAGCCTGTGCTGCCGTCCACTGGTTTGACATTGAGAAGTTTCTAAAAGAGGTAAAAACAAACTGAGTCTTCTTGTTTCATGTTTTTTGACCTCTACAAACTGCTGTACATTCCATACTTCTGACCACTGCAGATTATATACGAGGGAGAGTCAAAACGTAAAGACAATTTATACATATCATGGTAAGCGGAACAGAGAGAAGCTTGCGCAATGCAGCATAATTACATGGCCTGTTGTATAGTTCCACCATGCGCACTACAGTGCTCAGACTTAAGTTGAGTGGTAGTCATGTGGACAGAAACATGGACGCTCCGTTGGGAGATTGCACCACGAAGAACAACATACTGTAATGCGCTTTCTTTGGGCAGAGGGAGTGAAGCCGGTGGAAAGTCACGGATAGATATCGGCTCAGTGTGGTCATAGCACCAATAGTCAATGAAAGTTCTATGAGTGGGTAGAAAGGTGTAACCGACGAAGCTCATTCTGGCGACCAATGGGCGACCTGGTTGCACCACTATGGCCTGGAGAGCAAAAGACAAAGCATGGAGTGGAGACGCCCGTCTTCTCCAGCGGAAAAGAGATTCAAAAGTCTCTGCCAAGAAAATCATGTTAACGCTGTTTTGGGAGATGAAGGGGCTTATTCTGGTGCATTCGCAGCAAAAGAGGAACGCTCTCCAAAACAGACCTCTTGCACCATGGCGATGCACGCCCTCCTGCACCTTGACGATGCACGCCCTCCTGCACCATGACGATGCACGTCCTCCTGCACCATGACGATGCACGTCCTCCTGCACCATGACGATGCAGACCTCATACAGCAGTAGAGAAAGTACACCAACTTGGGTTTGAACGTCTTCCACGTCCTCCTTACAGCCGGGATCTGGCGCCGAGCACTTTATTACATGTTCGTTCTGCTGACAGAGACGCTCCGCAGTCACAGGTTCACCTCAGATGATCAGTAAAGGAAGCGGTGCACACCCGGCTTCAGCAGCAGCCAAAAAGCTTCTTCTCTGCAGGAATACAGACTCTAGTTCAATGATACAACAAGAGCATCATCTTCCATGGGGACTATGTGGAAAAGTTCAAGTCCTCACAGTTACTTCTATTAAAGCCGTTAAATGTATTTTGCTTTTACTTTTTGATTCTCCCTCCTACACTGTGCTGTATATTCGCTCTAAACATTATGCTGAATACTAGCTTAATCTGGAGCCCTGTACATCATGCTGCATGTTGCATACTGAAGTCGGGGGCACAATGCATGCTGCTTTTATGTTACATACATTCTACATTGTACATTATAATTTACTTTATAAATCCTGGACTGCTACATGTGTGCTGTGCTTGCATACAGTGTACCACTGCAATCTGATCGCTGTGCCATACAATACATATACCGAACTGCTGCACTCTGTACACTGTGCTATACATTACATTTCCCAACCCACTGAACTCTATACTCTGTATTGTACCTAGCTGTTAAATGTTTTTAGAAGTGCAGTATTTCTACTGATACATTAATGTCACGCTCATCATTCCAGGTCGATCGGATCCTAAAGCCACGAGGCTGCCTTGCTTTCTTTTCCTACCTTCCCCGTTTGGAAGTTCACTACAAGGACTGCTCAGAACAGATGTCTCAAGTCTTTTCGGACGTCAGTATTGAATCGCTTTCTGCTTTCAGTGAGCTACATGTCCCTTGTGTCACACACTGCCTTGCCTGAGATTTTGCTGTTGTCTTTGTGAGTTGGTATAAAAGCCGATGTAAGAATTGGAAAGCAGGCAGCTGCACTCAGGGCCGCCATCAGGGGGGTACCGCTGATACTCATGTAAGGGGCCTGGGGGGGCGTCGGGACCCTTACATGGGTATCGGCCAACGGAGACAAGCAAGGAGGCGGCCGGGCCTAAGCAGTGCCGGAGGAGGCCGGGCCCCAGCAGTGCCAATCCAGCGGCTTCAGGGGTGGCTGGGGCCCCAGCAGCACTGCCAGTGTTCTGATCTCGGAGGCCAGGTGCACAGGCATCAGCAGCAGGTAAGAGGAGCCTGGAGGGAGATGCAGCCCCGACCAGCCCACCTGAGACCCCTGCAGAGCCCCTCATAGAGAGTCTCAGACAGGCTGTGCAGCATCTACGGTGTGCTCTGCAGGGTCACTCTCAGGTGGCTCCTGTGTCCAGCACGTTACTAAGCCCAGAGTCCAGCGCGTTACCTAAGCCATGTAAGGGGCCCCAAAATTTCTGATAGCTGCACTCATCTTCATTGTGCTGAGCACTCTGGGGGCTTCCAAACCCGGTACACTCGGTATGCAAATACTGACTGACTCCAAAGTCAGAGTTGTGCCCCTCCTACTCCTCTTACCATACACAGCTTTCCATCGCTCGAAAAGCTACAGTGCATTGTATTGGGGGATGGGTGGGCGCTCCAACAACTACGGCACTGGAAGCCCTCATGTGCATACCAAGCTCCGGGGGGTTCCGGGGCTCCTCAGGATGCATATAATGTGTTGGGACCTCGAGTGGTGTGACATTAAAACCTTTTTTATCTTCAGTTCTTCTGTCCTTTGACACATTTGCTTTACATACAGTAATACGATGGTTCATCGGGAGGTGCTGATTGTTTTTTTCCACTAATTGAAATACAAATTTGAGTCCAAATAGATTGCTTATGGACAAATTTATAATCAACGAATCTGACATTCAGCAAACATTCTCTGCGGGTGAATCTTCCAGGTACATGTTTGTAATTATTATAATGATTGATTTTCCACCTGAGAATGTTTGTTTGGGGAAAGTCTCATTGACTGCATCATAGACCTCTTTTAGACAAAGCGCACTTATTATTTTTGCATCCCCCTCCCCTGACCTAAACGATCCCACCCTCGCCCTCCACAGATCTATACTTACCGAGGTCGGAGGGCTGCTGTTTGTTGACATCCAGCACTGCAAGGCCACCACAGATCTGTACTTACTGAGATCAGAGGGCTGCTGCCCTGCTGTTGGCTACATCCTGGATGCTCCTGGCCACATCTGCACCCCTTGCTATGGGACAAACCCACAGAAGTCTATGGGGCTGCAATGTGCAGCTGCGGCCAGCAGAGGGAGCATTGTGGTGCTGGATATAAATAAAACTGAACCATGACTGATGGATGTCTGTAATGCATCTGTGAAGGGGAGGGGGGATCGTTTAGATCAGGGGTGGGTCCAATAAGGATTTGTTTTAAAGTGTCCCTCCTTTAAAATGTAGGTAAGCAATTCTTTTTTATATATACCACCATTGCATACATGTGATGAGACGGATTTCATTTATTTTCCAGGTAGAAAGTACTCTGGCCCCATATCAGCATGAGAAGGTTCATCACGTCAAGACGGGATACAAGGAAATATTTGAGGCCATCCCATACACCGATAAAAGAAGGTCCGCCTACTTTGTATATCAATCATTTGATACGCTATCTGTCTTAGATCAGACCTGAGATAAGATGTACGTAGAGGTGTGAGAACGAGTCTCTGGATTTCTACGTAGATGGTTTTTACCTCATTGTGTTCTTATAATGGTCCATTTTCTCAGTTTAAACATTTGATATGTTTTCTATTGGGGATAAAATTTGGGTTTATGAGATTTGCAAATCATTGCATTCTGTGTCTATGTAGATGTTACACAGCGTCCCAACTTTATTGGGGTTGTAAATATCTAATGACGGGAATGTTTTGATTGCATTTCTTGTACTTCTGTGTTATCTCACTTCATCCCATTATCCCTTCGCAGGATAGAAAGTATTGTAACCAAGATCCCAATGCCACTGTCAGCGTTGATTGGTCTTATTCAGACCTTCTCCATGTTCCAGACGTATCTTAGGACTGAGCCGGAGAAAGCCAAGGAAATGATAAGAACGGTAGAGCAAAGGTGAGAATGTGTGTGAACAGGGCGATTATCTCCAGAATGCAGCAGCAGGGAGGGCAATGAAGGAGAGCAATACATTAGAGATTGCACATGGAGCACTGTATATGTCCCCCATTGTAGTGACCATCAAAGCTTACCCCCAAGCCTCAGCACCTACAGTACATGTTATACAATACATGTGTAGAGTTAGATGTCCATTGTGTGTGGGGGAGGAAATAAGTGTACTTCACGGATCAGGCAGACAGATGTGTGGTGCTCAGGGATGTTACTAGACCCTGGGGGACCCTTAGAGATGGGGTATGTGCAGGTCCGGATTTACTCTCTGCTGCCCCAAGGCCAGGTTCCTCAATGCACCACCCTACCCGGCAAAAAGGCCCACCCCCAATAGAGAATGGCAGGCCTGCAGGCTGCATACAAAACAAGCATCGGCTTCCCTGCTGTACAGTTAGTTCTGCTTGCCCAATGCAGAGCTAAATGTAGAAAACAACTACCCACCCGGAACCCCGAACTGCATGACCCGGGCATCGGGAGATAGGAACTCCACACCCCTGCTGCCCCTCTACTCCCTGCTGCCCCGAGGCCGGCCTTGGTTGGCCCTGTGGGAAATCCGTCCCTGGGTATGTGACCATGTTACCCCATAAATACAGGTGTAACATCAAACATGGTCCAAAGGTTGTCTTGGCCTTTAACCCCACTGGAGACCATCTAAAATCAAACTAGCGTCCTGAGTGGAGTCTTGTGTTAAGTTTGGATGGATTAGGTTCATGGTATCAATCTTCAGGAATGATCACAGACTATATATGAATCCTGTTTCAGGTTCCTTCAGATCATGGGAGCGTCCTCCACTGAAGCGGTGGTTGAGGTTTGGTTCCATAACGTCCTGGTCCTGGCTTGCAAACCGCAGTGAAGCAAGAGACTGGGAAACCGGCGCTGAACCCCTGCGAGACACGGCTGGAGACCCCGCTGATCAGTATTTCACCTTATCCGAAGTCTGTTAACAGTCTGAATATATCCAATGTGTTCATCTGAATTCAAAAACCGCTCCGCCTTCTCCATCAGATTACATAGAAATATTGCTAAAGCTGAACTCCGGGCAGATATAAAATACACTGATCAATGCAGCTCTGTAATCATTAATACATCATTAAATCTATTTCCAAAACACAATCCGTGTAAGTACCTGAATGTTACCTGCTATCATCCTCTTGCAGCCCCTGTACAGCAGGGCTGGAGTATGAGAGGAAGATGAGCACAAGAAGCCAATCAGTTTAAAGTGATGCTAAACTCCGGAGTTAAATCTTAAAAATCCCTCCGAGTCCCTGAACTCTGAACAACAATGTATCTTATTTGTGTATCACTCGGCTGTAGATCCTCCAATCATCTCTGACACTGTCCTTCCTTCTGGAGGGGGGCTACGTCTGTTCCCCATGGTCCCTGTGTGTGTTGTAAAGTAGCCACCGCTCCAAGCTCGCTCCCGGGATGGACTACAATCTCAATACAAATCAGTAAACAGGAGATTGTAGTCCATCCCGGAAACGAGCTTGGAGCGGTGACTACTTTACAACACACACAGGGACCATGGGGAACAGACGTAGCCCCCCTCCAGAAGGAAGGACAGTGTTGGCACCAATTCAGAGATGATTGGAGGATCTACAGCCGAGTGATACACAAATAAGATACATTGTTGTTCATAGTTCCGGGACTTCAATGCATTTTGAGTTTAGTGTCACTTTAAGTGTTGTTAAAGGAGAATGTTGGATAGAGGAGGAGAGAGCAGAGTGATATAGAGCTGAGATCATCACTGTGCTGCTTCACCTTTCACTGTCCAGTCACAGGCTGAAGGCTCAGAGGAAGTGGGTTGAATAATGAATATAAAAGAAATATAATAAGAGGGAGAAAGGGGTTCATTAGGACTTATAAGGGTTAACTAAAGCTGGCCATATGCTGGTAGATTTCTGTACGAACGTTCGTATGGTAAATCTGGTCAGAACATTGGGTAATACCATCGGAGACTTAACGAATGTCGTTCAAAATTTTGTTGATTTGAAACATTTTTGACATTCGACTTTTGGAAGGGACGGAGTTTCCCGAATGAAAACCGCATTCACTGTTAGAATTTCTTTCATTCGAGAAACATTTCCCACTCTGCTCCTTCAACTTTTGTCATCACTGAAGTCAAAATCGATCGTCCATTTAACCCCATCAACTATTAGAAGGTCGAACGAACGTTCCGAAAACAATTTTGTTTAAATGAAATTCTACTGATGTATGGCCAGCATTGTAGTTATTATCCCATTACTGAACCTGTAGACCAGTGGTAGCCAACTTGGTAAAAACAGGGGGCCTCAGGTGTGGCCCCCCAACAGGTCCAGCCGGCCACATAATACCTTAGGTACCATAATACCTAAGGGGTCGTTTAAAAAAACAAAACTTGTAAGGTCTTATTGATGTCATCGTATTTACTATTTCATGAATAAGTAGATGAAAAGTCATAACTTTGTTCTACATATGAATGAAATAGTAAATATGATGGAACCGCATGTTACATTGTATCTACAAAATGGTACTTGTGGACTATCTGCACCTCTCATAGTACACAGGATCAGCCGTGTATTTGACAGCCGCTGCTAATGAGAGGAGCTGCAACACGGTGAAGAGTAGACATGTGCGATTCGTTTTCGAAATTCGGACAAAATTTCGGAAATTTGTAGATTCGGAGCATCCGAAGTTCTGAAATATAACATATCCGAATTTCCGAAAGCATCCGAATCCGAAATTTACGGATTTGGAACGAATTTTGTCCAAATCCTGCGCGTGCGCTGTTAACATTTAAACGGATAAAAACAAATTAAGAAAAGGATTTTAATGTCCCTTTAATAGTAAAGACGAGAGCACAGCAACCAGAAATGACAAATGTGCCAATTCTGCTACCCCACCTCAAGTTGCATTTTCGGGAATTCCGAATACGAATCCGATTCCAGAAACGAAACGCATATAGGATCCGAATTCCAAAAACGAAATAAACGAAATCCGAAACGAAACACATTTTTAGCCGCTGCATATTTCTAGTGAAGGGGAGCTGGACATTAGAGGTGTGTCCATAAAACTTTGTTGCGGTTTTTTAGGCCGGTATCTCTAACATGCAAAATTCTGAAGTGGTTAAAGAATAACTGCAGTTTTTGGTACAAGTTGTTCTTTGAGGAATGGTCCCAACCCCGTGAGTGCAGATCACGTGGCAGCTCTGTCCCCATGGTCTGGTCTGTCACCGCTAGCTCCGCCCAATTGTTTTGTTTTCTTAAAACAATTTTAAATTTTTTTACAATTTTTCCTATTTTTTCAATCATTTGAAAAAAAAATTCTCATTCTTTTTACTTCTTTTCTACTCTGCTTGGTACCTCGGAGGTAGTGAGCAGGATAGCCGAGCCAAATGCCGCTCGCCGGCATTCAGCTATTCACTCATTGCCGTTCGGAGTGAGCAAGTGACCTGCCGGAGCTTCAGCTCAGCCGATCCAGATGTTGGATCCAGAGCCGTAGCTAGCTCCCTTTTGCGCCCGAGGCAAGAAGAGAAAATTGTGCCCCCCAACAGACGTGCGATGTCACCCGACGCTGCAATGCACGTCATCCTCTGACGGCATGCGCCGTGCCTCCAGGATGGTGGTGCGCATGCTCGGAATGCGCTGGTGGGCAAATCCAAAATAGCATAAAAATGTGTTTTGTTTGACGAAACTAATGAAAAAATGTTAAGTTTCTGTTCATTTTGTCCGAAACAAATTTTAAGTCTTTGCACACGTCTAATAATATGTGTGCATGAGTGTGAGTGGGGTGGGGGGGGCTTTATTTATTTTTTAGCGATGTCACTTCAGGGTGGTCGAGCAGTGAGGAGAGAAAGATCCGCCCGCTGTCAGATCCTGGCCGAGCGTCTCTCTCTCCTCACCGCAAGGCCGTCCTGAGTGACAGCTCCCACCTCCGCCACCCCACTGGCTGCAGCGCTCCATTTCTCATCGGATCCCAGCTGCCTCTGTCCATATAGGCAGGGGGAGAGCAGCGGGGATCCGAGGAGAAATGGAGCCTGTGCTGCCCCTCTTCTCCCTGCCGAACCACGGCTGTGTTGGAACCTGTGCTCGCCATGGCAACAGGAGCGAAGCTACAGCCATGGTTGGATCGGTAGAGTCGAACTCCTTCTGCACTTTGGCTCAGCTGAACATGCAGAGCATGTTCGGCTGACAGAAGGCAGCTGATGTACGGCTGATTTTCGCCAATGTACGGCTGATTTTCGCCAATGTACGGCTGATTTTCGCCAATGTACGGCTAAAATCAGCAGTACAAGACTGAAGTGAATAGCCGAACAGCATTCGGCTCACTTCACTTCAGCTGGGTTATTCACTCGGCTGCCTTCAGCAGCTTTGCGAATAACCCTGATAGTATTAAAAACAAATCACAGGTTTCATCACATTTCTGAGCTTCTTCTTTAACTTATTCACAGTAAATACTTTTCAATATTATCCTGCATACACTGACCATACATAGACCCCCATAAAGCATCAGAAGCAAAGCGAGACAAATATTTAGATTTCAATGCGCTCTCACTAGCGATAGAATTCATACATTCCATTACTCACCGAATGTAAGTGTAATTTTATTTTCAGGTACTTCAGACAATTGTGTTTTTTCTGACCTCTCCTGGTAACCACGAGGTGCAATCACCTTCCTATGTAGGATCAGCGATCGTCCCGAAGCTCGGTCAACTCATTTTCATCTTCCTTCTTTCCAGCGAGCGAGGGAGAGAGGCTCCAAAACTCAGAAACTTGGTGGAGGCCGGCTCACCAAGAATGTTATATTCGTAGACACTAATAATATTTTCAAGTGTCTTGAGGTGATTGTGCAAAATGAATTAGACGAAATGGTCAGCAGATTCAAAATGATTGCGACTTTATTTGATTGCACATCGAGTCATCACAAGCGTTAAAATGGTACAAAAGCTGGTACGAAAATATATGCAGATAACAGTTGAAATAAGTTAAACAGTTTTATATGAAATTAAAAGAGAACTATGAGGTCAGTGTTTTTCCCCATAGTTCTCCTAAGGGTCACAGGAGGACATATACTAGCGTCCTCCCGTCACCCAAAGCTCAGTATATAGGGAGCTGCTGCTCACCGTATACTGAGACCGCCGCAGGGACGGATCCCTTCATTACTATCGGGATCCACCCAGCTGCGTGAGTGGCAACTGCTCTTTAGGCTTTGATTAGCATCCAGGAACTTAAAGTGATATTAAAGGAGAACTATGGGGTCAGTGTTTTTCCCCATAGTTCTCCTTAGGGTAACGGGAGGACACACACTAGCGTCCTCCCGTCACCCTAAGCTCAGTATATAGCGAGCTACAGCTCGCCGTATACTGAGACCGCCGCAGCCAGGACGGAACCCAACATTACTGTTCAGATCCATCCAGCTGCATGAGTAACAGCTGGCTCTGCCTATCTAGAGGCAGAGCCAGCTGTACCCGCCCCCTCCCCCGTCCGTTCCTCCAGTCAGCGCTGGAGGATTGGAGCGGGGAGGGGGAAATCCCTGCAGGGAGCCGTCACTGACAGTCACCCCTCTCTGCAGGTAGATGGATTGGGAAGTGAGCGAGCGCCGGTATGTGTTCGCTCACTTCCCGATCTATTGAGCCGACCTGTGACAGTCTCATTGTCACACGTCGACTCGAACTATGAGGCTGAGTGATTTCCACTCACCTCATAGTTCTCCTTTAAATCAGAAACGTGTCTGTGAAGTATATGTGTATAGAGAGCCGTGTGCTGTATTTGTGTGTATGAAAACGTGAGTCTTCTGTGTGCAATTCACCCCGAGAGATGTTCACCCTTCATTATATGTGGATTCTGCGTGACTTCTTAATGTGAATAGAACAATGATTGTACTCGCAGTCACACAAATCATATCGATTTTCTACATGTTATCACAATGAGGTATAATATACATTGAGAA